TTCTAGTTTCATTGGTACTAATACTTTAAACGTAAAAGTAAACTATATTGGCTAATGTGTAATTATTATTTTATATTTTTAAAACAAGAATGAAAGGAAAGAATATCTCTGGACATTCAAGGATAACTGTGACTTTCATTCCCTAGAAACTTTATCTAGGAAAGAGGGTTGAATTTTAGTCTCAGGAACGGCCTACCTTTTCATGATTTTCAGCAGTTCACTCAGACTTCCTAAGCTTCATCATTCTCCTGGGCATCTGCTGACTGGCCTCTGCTCCTCCACTCACATTCAGGACACTGCCTTTTCTTTTACAAGACTGGTTATTCCTTAGGGAATCACCCACCCTCACGCCTGGCTTCAGAAGCAGGCTTTGGCCACAGCACAATTCAGAGATGGGTAAGTATGTAAAAATAAGCTAGTAGGACCAGGAGAGACTTCCAGGGAAAACCCTTCTCCTCCTCCCCTTGTATCTCCTAATGGAAACCTATTCTCCCTGGGCTCCGGGGTATGCGGTGAGAGCAGGTGAGCTCTGGAAGTGTACAGCCCCTCTGTATCCTCTCAGGGCCAGATGTGAAGCTTGCACCATGGAAAGCAGAGGAGAGAAATAGATAAAATAACTACCGTTACCTAATCTGGGCTAGGACTCAAGGGTTCACTGAGGCTACATCCACTCTTCTGCCCCAAAGACTCCCAGTACTTGGTGAATACTTACCAGTAAGTAAACTGACTTATTTTTACTTTCAAGTTAAAACATCTCCTAAAGCAGATGAATTTCTAGTACAGATGAACCTCAAATTTCAAATTTATGATGGTGTGAAAATGACTAGCATTCAGTAGCAATTGTACCTTGGATTCCGATCTTTTTCCTGCAGTAGCAATATGCGGTACTGAGACCAGGAGAGACAGGGACAAAGGGCAAAGTCCTGAGGAAACTGGATAAACTGAGATAAGCCTTAGGAAATTGGAGCACAGGGGACAAAGGCCTAATCAGAGGGCAAAGGAGAAAGGACTAATAAAATCTGCTGCTGACAAAAGCTGTTCAGTAGCAACTGTACACATTCATTTTGGCACATCTTTCTGCCCCTTTTTTGTGCCAAAAGCTGCATATAAGCCCCTAGATTCAGGCACTTCCTTGGTGTCCTCCCTTAAAGCCCCCTTGTCTAGGGAGGGCTTTTTTTGCTCTTTCTAATAAACCACACCCAGCTCAGTTCCCTGCTGCTGAGCTGTTGGCTTCGTTTTTCCACTGCCCTTAGGACAAGAGCCCAGAGGGAGCGAACTGGTGAGAGTCATGTGAAGCTGGCCAGCAGTAGCCAGCCGCAGCTCCTAGTCAGCTCTGTGATCACAAGTACAGACAACCTACACTCCATAGTGCACTACCGTGTGGCTAAGCTTTGGGCTCTGATATGCTAGGTGTATTAAATGCATTTTGACTTCTGGTATTTTCAACTTACAATGGGTTTACTGGACATAACCCCATCATAAAGAAGGCATATCTGTACATACAATTTGGAAAATAAAAAGTCTGTAGAAGGAAAATCCTTATTTGGTACAGACTTGGGATTAAAAACCAGTTAGTTTTCTCCTATTCATGTAGAAAGATCTTGTGTTGCTTAATTCTATTTTTACAGGAGATCAATTCCCTCATTTGTTAAACTTTAGGGAGTTTTTCTCAGGTGTATTACTTAGAGATTTAAAAGAACATGACAAGTAAGAGTTACTAGATTCCTATTCAATACACAGAAAATAATTCCAGAAAATAAAATTAAGGTTCACTGTTCATCAAGGTTCCATACTTCAAATTACTCAAATCAAGTAACTTTTAACCTATCCTTGGTTTACTCTAGTTTTTTATTCTAAGACATTGTATGTACTTAATTTTTTATTTTTTTCTTAGAATTTATTTCTAATTCAATCATTTCAAAAATTTAGGTAGGAAATGGTAATGGTTCAAAACATACTTTAAAATTAAAGATTCACTTATGGACATATTGTCTTTTTATAATCCCTGGGCAAGTAATTCTATATGTTAGCTACAGCTAGCTATTGTTAGGATATGTGGAAATGACCATTTTCTAAACTGGCAGAAAGTTCTAAAGGTAAAGTCACCGAGTAGAACTGAACTACATGCTGCACAGTTATCATTTGTACTGTGGTTATATCACACTACCTTTATTCGATATGCTTAAATTTAAAAATGAGGCTTTTTTCTTTTTTTTTTGAGATGGAATCTCACCATGCTGCCCAAGCTGGCTTTGAAGTCCTGATATTAACTGATCCTGGTGTCTTCACTTTCCATATAAATGGGACAAGGTACACACGCCATCGTGCTTGGTAATAGGTTGCTTTTTGAAATAAAATGTAAAATATTTTTAAAATAACTACACTCAAACTTACACTAGGAAAAGTTCCTAAATCCGTATGTCTTTGCTAATGTAATTTTTAAAACTAAAATTATTTAAATTGAATATTTAATTGAAATTGAAAAAGAGATGCTAAAATATAAAAGAAAGAAAATATTTACAAATTATATCTTGAAGATGAATATGTTGCTTTTATTTATGAACCAAAGAACAGCCACACTAGGTAGGTCATGCTGAGGTGGATTCATGGGAGGAAGGAGCCTGTTGGGAATTGGAGTGGCACCACTGGGGGGTTCAGACCAGCCCTGAGGGTAAAGGGGATTCCCGCTGGAGTTGTAGAAGCAAGCAGAAGAAACTGCAATGTATCTATCTTATTTTTTAAAAGCCTAAAAACTTAAAATCAAGAAATGATAGCTTGGCCAGGGTTTGCATTTCACTTGAGATGAATAAAATGTTCACATTTTTCTCTGCGACTATCATCTAGCTCCTACTGCCTACCGACAGAATTCAGGTAGAAAAGGGGAAAGAGAAAGCTTCCCTGAGGGAAATGACAACAAATTGAATATTAAATGTACAATAGAAAACAAGCTCTCCCAGCCCTTCAACCACATCTTTCAAGCCCTGCTTCTGAGAATAGAAAATGCTAAGCTCAATTTGAGTGTCACTATAAACCCCTCTCTGTGCCAGATGATTTTATTCACATATTTATATCCAAAGTAAAAACAACTTAAAATGTTTACACTGGGTAGTAATGGAAGTCATGTGTCAAATACAATGGAGCGGGGGAATAAAGCTTTCTTCAGAACTGAAGCTGGAAGATATACAATATCTGTGGAAAATCTGGCTTATAAATGAAAATACATTGTTTACCTATTCCATTTAATTACAGAGAACACGCATTTTTACCCTTTGCATCCAATTTCTGAAGTCTCATTTTTTGGTTTTTGGTTTGTTTTTTGCTCTGAAGTATTGCCTGCAGCTATGGAAGTATCATAGTTCCACCCAAGGAGTCTCTAGGAACATGGCCACACATTCTTGTGACTTGGGATCCCTATGTCCTTTAAGCTTTCACCCCTAATGAGAGACAGTAAAAAAGAATCCTTCCACCAAGCCCAAAGCACAGGAGGAAAAACAGCAAAGAGAGCCCCTCAGCCATCCTCAGCTATCTCCAGCATAGCAGCTTTCCTATTGAATGCTGAAAAGAAAAAGACAGTACTGTATAAGAGACCAGAGCTGGACTTTGGCATCGTTCTATGGAAAAAGTCCTCTGAATTTGTCACTAAGTTCAGGCCTGTGGTGACATCCTCTCCTTAGCTTCTAATCACCAATGATTCAAGCACAGTTGTTCACAAAAGCTGAAGAAATGGCATGCTCACTTCACAGTTTTCCAGTGTCCCTCCTAAACAGAATCTATCCGAGGGTTAAAACTTAAAAGGGGCCATAAAGGTGCCAGAGGAAGAAAAGCCATGGCTGTTGTTTTCTCTGATGTAACATGTCTTAGGAGGGTCAGCCACGAATTCATAACTCACATGAAGTCCAGCTCTTCTGTTCTGAGGCAAGACACCCACCCTTGTATGTTCCCCTCCACGTTCTCACACACCACTTCTCAGCTGGTACTCTGCTGATCTTGGGCCATCCATCCTCCTACCTGCCCTGAGCAGGGCCCTGGGGACTTCACTGAACATCCACCTGAGGCCTCTGGGCCTTTTGTTTTAAAACTCAGAGAAGCTGACTCAGTTTTGCCTTTCCTTTTGCATTTCCTGTCAGTTGATGAGAGAGTGCCTTTGTCATCTCAGGTGGTCCTGCTTGAGCCTCCTAACACACTGTTCCTAAACACATGTCCTAATTTTCAAAGAAGCTGGGCCTCCATCATAGGCAATGTTTTATAAATACATTCTTGATGTGATTCCACAGATGTGTTAGCCAGGCCCACTGAAAACTCACTTTTTCTCACTACCCCAACCAGCTTGCAAACACCTGAAACAAAAAGGCCCATATTACTATGAGGAAGTGGCAAATCACAGCAGAGAAAATAAACAAAAACAAAATAATTTGTAGAGTTGAATTAAAAATGGGGAGGCACACATCTATGATCCCAGGACTCTGGGAGGCGAAGGCAGGAGGATTGCAAGTTTGAGCTCAGCTTAGGCAACTTAATGAGATGCTGTCTCAAAAAGGAAAGAATATTTAAACAGGCTGGGGTTATAGCTCAGGGCAAATGCCCCAGATTCAACTGGAAAAACAAAACTAAAACAACAACAAAAACACCTGGACAGATCCTCTACTTCAGATCTGTCTTTTATACTAAATTTTCACTTCCCTAATGCATAAACCAATTTTAAACAGAACCTAATAAAAGCTAAACCAACCAATCAACAACATACTTGTAATTTAAACTTTCTTTATTCTAATTAGGACTCTTTGGCTGCTTGATTATTTGTTTTTGTTTTTGGGGGGTTTTTTTTGGTACCGGGGATGGAACTCAGGATCTTACGCTTTCGAGGCAGGCAGAGGTACCACTGAGCTAAATCCCCGGCCCTGGCTGCTTGATTATTTGTATTACACTCATGTCCTGAGAAAAAAATAGTAAGACACAGATAATTTAAGTCACAATGTATTAAGTGAATAAACATATCTTACCTGTAAATACATTTCCAAACCTTGCCGTCGTTGTTCTAAGACTTTTGGGACCCAGTTCCTGACATGCTTAGAAGGGATTTCTGGAGTTTTTATACATTTCTTAAGCTATAAATACACAAATAGAAAAAAAGAGAGATGTCTGTTAATTATAATGGGATTATTTCAAAGGAAAAGCCAAAAGAAAACAAACCACTGCTATTTCCAATTTTTAAAAAGGGAAATATAATTATATAGAAATTTTGTCAAAAAAATTCTTTACTTAGGTGTCCTCACTATTCAGGTTTCAGGAAGGGTTTTGTGTTTTGAAAGTTGAAGAATTGGAGTTATTGATATTTCAGATTGAAATTATTTTTCCTGAAAAATTAAGTCTAGTAAACGAGGTAAAAGAAGTATTGTAGTTTAAAAATCAATTTATTTTGTAAAAATCAATATAACATAATTTTATTTGAAGTATTTTTCTGATAAGAAGTCTTTCCTTTTTTTTTTTAACCTAAAAAAAAAATAATGGTTTTTTGGAGAAGTTCTTGGAAATTCTATAATAAAATGAACTAAGAAATACAGAGGATAATCTCTTCAACATTCCTAACAATCAGGTTCAACTTCTATTCATGAATGTTGAATACTGGCTTTTAGCTAAGTCTTTCTGAACAGTACTTTTAAGGAATAATATAAAGAAAAACCTATTGGTAGTTGAGTTAGAGCTGCCTGAGATAGAAGAATCTCCCTCCACCAAAGACGGCCAAATCCTAAACCTATGAATGTTCATATGGCAAACAAGATTTTGTGAATTTGGTTAAATTAGTGATCTTGAAATAGGGAGATTATCTGGCAGGCTCAATGCACTCACAAGGATCCTTTCATGAGGAAGCCCAGAGGGCAAAGTGAGAAGATTATGGCTGGCCTTGATGATGGAAGAAGGGCCGAGAACTCAGGCAACCTGTGGCAGCCAGAAGGGATTCTATGGTGCGGCTTCCACAGGGCACACAGTCCTGTTGACCACCTTGGTTTTGGTGCAGTGAAACTCCTTTTGAAGCGTGGACTTCAAGAAATGCAAGATAGTCACTTCTAGAAAAACGGTGGATTGGTAAATAGCAGCAAATCAGCCTCTCCAAGGTTTGGAATCCAGACACTGGAAACATAACAACTTGGGGAAGAAAAAAAGGAGGGAGGTGGAGCCCTGGGATCCAGGAAGGATGTGAAGAAGAATTAGAGTCCTCAGGCAAACTGAAGAGATAGACCTCGATGCAGAAAAAAGAAGTGGCTGGGCCAGGGATTTAGCTCAATGGTTCCACTACCTGCCCTGGAAATGCAAGGACCCAAGTTCAATCCCCGGTACAAAAAAAAGGGGGGTCCATACAGAAAAAAGAAGTGGTAAACTACATGTTCTCTCTGACTCCAGCATGAGAGGAGGCTCGAATCTTCAGAGATACAGTGAGCACAGGTGACTTCAGAGGCTTCCATGGAGAAAGGCATCAGTAGAAGGGAGGAATAGATGCTATGAGCTGCAACAACTAGTCAGTGACTCCAGTCCAAGTGATCCCTGAAGAGAGTTCTTGGCCAGATGCCATTTTAGGAAGGGTCTAACTCTGCCCAGGACTCAGAGCAGCCATAGGTTGGCCTCATCTCAAGCCTCCCAGTGACTACGTGAGGCACAACCGTGGGAGACATCTGGGGTCAGGGAACTGAGATCAGACCAGCAACAGACACCCAGAGTGTTGTGGCCTGAAGAACTCAGGCCCCAACTTCACAACCAGAGGCTACAATCAGTCTAAACTTCTGTGAAGTTGAAAGCATCAGAATTGGCACCCCACCCTATTCCTACCACAGGAGGGTCGGGATCATCCACCAGCACAGATTTGAGCTCTGTCTGCCTGCTTTGTCTGCCAGTAACAGTGGAGACACAACCTGAATTAGACACTACCGTACCAGAAGATAACCACAGGCATAAAATCTTTTACTTTTCTTTTCATATTTTTTCTTTTTTCTTCATTGTTTTTGTTTTTTCATGAGTGTGAATATTGTTTTTAGTTTTATTTTATTAAGTTCTTATTTTTGTTTTTTTCCATCTTTTTTTCCCTCCTGTCTTCTTCACCAGTTTCTCAAAGCTTGGGTAATCTTCAATGGTCCTTCAGCTTTCCTTCTAATCTCTTTCTCTTCACTTATTTCTCTATTTTTTCCTTTTATCCCTTTAAAATTTTCTCCCCTGGAGGTAAAATCATTCTATTGAGGGGATATTTACTGTGTATAATTTTGTGATTCATTTTAGATTTTGTCATGTAACTATAAATCTTTACCGATGGTTAAAGGTGGCAAATTAACAGTTACCATAGTTTGTCATTTTCTAGACTGGGCTTGATGATATTGTTATTACAGATTGTACTACCATAGCAAAGGTGGCATAGTTATTGTGATCAGCTGTTCTTCCTTGCATGTCAATACCAAGATTGCCTAGGGGTCATAAACAATACTATAGTCCAGTACCAAAGAACTGGGTGCTAGGCTAAATAGGCCGCAACTTCTCATCCCTAATAAATTGAAGAGGCAGGATCTTGGGTCAGACTCAAAAGCCAAAAACCAGCTATTCCTAGAAGACATCTCTGAAAAGTAGGCATTTCCTAAGGAAGTCTCAATACCAGTAATAAAGCTACCTACTATAAGCAATTTACAAGCATCAAGGCAGAAAACAAATTTTGAAAAATACAAACTGAGAAGACATGGAAGCAAGATGTAACCCCAGAACTCCAGCTTGCCCAAGGAAAGTCTAAGGGGTGCATTAAGATGGAACGAATCAAAAGCCACCCAGCTGAACTTTCTGAAATACTTGCAGTGGAAGTAACAAAGTAAATGAATTAGGGTCTAGAAAAAAGCAAATTAGAAAGAATTTCACAGAAAGTTAAAGAAATGATGACGAAAATGAATGCTATGGTTAGCAAATCTAGAGTAGATACAGACTGAAAAAAAAGTAGAGGAGCTTAGGAAAGTGACAGAAACCATGAATGCCCAGTATACGAAATAACTGGATTCCAAGAAATAGAAACAGACAGATACCAGGAAGATAAAAAAAAAAATTCTATTGAAAATGTATGCAGCAGAATCAAGCAATGTGAAGCAGAATATCAGACCTAGAAGACAGGATTGCAGTTAACAATTACAAATGAAAGACTTCTTAAAAATACCAAGGGTCTACACACATACATGAATCAATCCAAGAGTTTCTAGATGATGCAAAGAAGAATAACATAAAATTGATCAGAATCAATGAAAAATCAGGAGATAGCACAAAGGACAATAAAAATCCTGTCCACAAAAGTAATGGCAGAAAACTTCCCAAGCATAGCAAAAGAATTTGACATACAGGTAAGTGAGGCATACAGAACTGCGATTAGCCACGATCAGAAAAAAACTATACCAAAGTGTGTAATGGTCAAAGTTCCAGAAATTAAATATAAAAACATAGTATTAAAAGCTGTCAGAGAGTGGGCTGGGGATTTAGCTCAGTGGTTCTGCCACCTGCCTCGCAAGCACAAGGTCCTGAGTTTGATCCCCGGTACCAAAAAAAAAAAAAAAAAAAGCTGTCAGAGACAAGTAACAAATCAACTACAAAGGAAAACCCATCAGAATCACAGCAGACTTCTCAATGCAAAACCTTAAATCAAGGAGAGGTTAGAGTAAAGTATTTCTGGCCTAAAACAACTTCCAATCCTAACTGATGTACTTAACAAACTTATGTTTTAAAATTGATGGAGAAATAAAGATACTTCATGATAAAGAACACCATATGAAATTCATGACCACCAAACCAGCATTCCAAATAGTTCTCAAGGATATTCTAGAAAAAGACAACAATTCCATGAATCCCAGTAGAATGAATCCGCCAGACAAGGCAAACAAACAGAGGGAAAAGAAAGGGAATCAACAACAAAAAAATAATATGACAAGGATAAGTCAATACATATTCTTTTTAACCATTAATGTAAATGATCTCAATTCACAAATCAAAAGAAATAGACTGGCAGAATGAATCAAGAAACAAGATCCAACAATATGTTGCATTCAAGAAGCACATTTAATTCAAAAAGAAATTCAGAGACTGAAAGTCAAAGGATGGAAAACAATACTGGATGTGACAGGAACCCTGAAAAAAGCAGGGGTAGCTATTCTATTTGTAGAGAGAGTAGATTTCTAGCTAAAATTGATCACAAGAGCAAAGAAGGTCACTACATACTTGTTAAGGAAATGATTCAAGAGGAAGTGATAACAATCATAAATATATATGTACCAAATACTATCACATCCATCTATATAAAACACATATTAGTGGACATGAAAAATCAAATAAGCACTAGCACAATTGTAATGGGGGACCGTAATAACTCACTGTCACAAATAGACACATCAACTACAGAAAAAAATTTAACAAAGAAGTATCAGAGCTGAACCAAACCTTTGAACAAAGGACTTAGTAAATATCTACAGATATTTACTAAGATATTTCCACCCCACAACAGAATACACATTCTTCTTAGCTGCACATGGGAATTTCTTCAAATTAGGTCACATACTAGCTCATAAAATATGCTTAAGTAAATGCAAAGGAACTGAAATTATCCCATGCATATTATCAGATCATAGTACAATGAAGCTGGAAATCAATGGCAAAAGAAACCACAAAAAATATATAAACACATGGAAATTAAATAATACCCTCCTGAACAAATAATGGGTCATAGATGAAATTAAAGAAGAACTCAGTTGCTACAATTAAATGATAATGCCAACACAACATATCCAAACTTATGGGACACAATGAAAGCAGTCCTATGATGAAAAGTTACAGGGGTGATTTCCCACATCAGAAAAACAGAGCAAGCTCAAATAAACAACATAATATTGAACCTCAAATTTCTAGAAAAAGAAGCACAAGTAAACCCAAAACACATATGAGGGAGCAAATTACAAAGATCAACTGGAAATTGAGGCAACTAAGACTAAGAAAACAATACAAAATCAACACTCAAAAATCAATAGTATTCCCATACACAAATAACAAGCTCATTGAGAGAGAAATTAGGGAAACAATATCTTTCACAATAGCATCAAGAAAA